TGGCTCACACTTACCGCTAACTTATTAACTTTTCGCATTTGCTGATGTAATTGATGACTTTATTTCTGTTTATCGACATGAATAGGGTGCTCAAGGGCGAAAGCCTCATTCCCTTAATAAACTGACTTAAACTGACTTAAATACTCTGATCTAAAACGTTCTCTAGAGTAAAATTTCAAAGTTCGGTGAAATCACAATGACATTTGAGCGGAGTTAATGTCCGCATTAATTTCTCATTGGCTCTTAATGGTCATGGGTATTTTAAAACCAATCAAATTTACTGAATCAGCAGGCGTCAAGCGCGTGATTATAAAAGCAACAATCTGACGACGATCACAAGAAATTAGCGAACATTTGCATAGCCCTTCAAAACCTAGAGATAGCCTGCTTCTAAGAGATGGGTCTCGTGTTCAGTCGTATATTCGATCGCTTCTTTGACAAAAAAGAAGTCAGACTACTCATGGTGGGTTTGGATGCCGCAGGCAAAACAACCATCCTATACAAGTTTAAATTGGGTGAGGTCGTCACTACAATTCCCACAATCGGTTTCAACGTCGAGACCGTGGAGTACAAAAATGTCAAGTTCACCGTCTGGGACATTGGAGGCCAGACTACAATCCGCCCGCTATGGCGCTATTACTTCCAGAATACGCAAGGTAATCGTAACCGTTTTCATGATATCCCAGGCCTTGTATTTGTCGTCGACAGCAATGATCGTGAAAGAATAGACGAAGCTCGTGAGGAATTACATGGAATGCTGAATGAAGATGAGCTACGTGATGCTGCCTTGCTGGTGTTTGCAAACAAACAGGTATGGGTACGTTAAATGTTTAAGGTCATCCCTGACGTAGGATTTGCCAAACGCAATGCCGGCTTCTGAGATAACACAGCGACTCGGTCTCTGCGCTCTCCACGGACGTCAATGGTACGTGCAGTCCACGTGCGCTACAGCAGGCACTGGTCTCTACGAAGGCCTGGACTGGCTAAGCAACACTCTTTCCTCGGCTAAGCGGTGAACTTCGAACTCTGACAGACACTTATTCCACGGAGCTTCTGTAAATATTTATGTCTTAGTTGTGACGGGATTCGGGAGCCACATACACTATTCTACGTCTGAATCCAACCTGTGTCTGTGATTTCACCATCATCTTTGGAAATCATGCGATGCTTATGACTCTGCACTTTCTTTTTCTTCACATTCCCACGTGAACATACACTTTATCCATTACCTTTTTCCGACCCCAATATTACTTTTATAACTTCAACTGTATATTTATTTATTATACCCACTAGCGGTTGTATGAAAACCTGCTTTCATTGACTTCGTTCTCTTATTTGAATGGGACTTCGTAGAACTGTCGTTGAATATGTACCTTCGATTATTGACCGACAGATGACATTTGTTACGCGGCTGGCAACGAATTGTATGCAGAAACGGAATAAACCCAAATGTTTAAAAGATAATTTTGCTACCATACGTCTGCTTTTGATAAATTCCCTTCATGCCTGTATCGTTCCGTTGCTTAAAGTTTTGCCATGAACGTGCAGTTCCTATTTGACAACAATCTGTGTAAACAGGTGGACGGGGTAGCTATGGGCCCTTACTTTGACGATCTTTTAGCGAATATATTTATGGACAAGCTAGAAGCTTTCCAGCTTCCTCACAAGATAAACTGTCTCAGATATTGCAGAAGCTATGTCGATAATTAATTACGACGAAACATAACGACGTCTCATTTCTAATGGATGATATGTGTGAGACGAATCCATTAAACAAATTTACGTTCGAAGAAGAGCAGACTGATTCGCTTCACATTCAAGACATGCTTTTTTGTAGAAGGCATGGCGGCAGTATTCGACGTAGCGTCTAGAGTTTTGAACACGCAGTCCGGTAATATACCAGTTTTGGGGTTTTTAACGACATGATTGAAACGTGATTTAGTTCGCTGTTTCACGCAAAGGGTGAGAAGGATCCGCTCGCCTGATGGCAAAGAGAGATCGCTTTAAGAATTGTCAAAGTCTCTCTTGCTAGAAGGGTTACCCCGATCGACATGGAAGAAAGAAAGCAAAGGTACCCGATTTTGATGCAGCAAAGAAAAGACTTTTCATCAAAGGGACATTTTATGCGTATGTAAAGCGAGAACTTTTAAGAAAACGCTTAATTAGGCACCCATCCAGCGGCTGACGCCCTGTACTCTTCTGCATTCCTTCCATCCTATACGGACAGGGTAAGGACAAACTATCAGACCCACTCTAAGTGCATTTATCCTTGATCTGCTCGTGCGTGGCAGAATATATTAATTGCGCGAGTCGGCGTTAGTTCTAAGGAATAACCGAACATCTTCCAGCATGGTTAGGAAAGGGTGAAATAAAAAAGCATTAACGGCTGTATCCTCGCGCACATGTTACACAATCATGTAAATGTCAGAAAGGCCTTTCGGATGGTTGACACGGTTCCGTCAAGCTACCCAAACTACCTAGGTAACGTTTTTTGTCTACGACAGAGTCGGCTAAAGTTGCACTGCATAAGCGACTCATTTGCACACGGAAGTACTCCCGCAGCTTCCACAGTTGCCATGGGTCAAAGCCAACTAGCCAGCCAGACGCTTATAAGTACATTTTGCAGGGCCCATCTTCCCCTGGCGCTGACTAAATTTTTCGTGTTTCACTTTCCCCCCCCCCCCCAAAAAAAATTCGATATTTAGAATAATTGCTTACCTAAGTCACATTTTGTTATTCGTTATTTCAATAGTCAAATAGGCCAACAGACTTTAAGACAGATTATCAGAAGGAGACGAATGTTAGCCGAGCCTTCTTCCGAATTTATTTAATGGGAACTTTCGCAAATCTAAGGTACACAACTCTCGATATAACGGACCAGGCAAGTTGCGGGAAGTAGTTCAGAAAACGAAGATGCAATTACTAAAAATAATAAATTCATTGGTCTGACGTCTCGGATTCTCAATCGAATTCATCATCAATGACAGTCGAAGATATAGGTGGTGGGGTCACAAAAACCGCAGTATTTATAGTACGTAACTGGCATGGGGCCATATCTGTAATAAAATTAACAATTATCGCAGTCACCGCTGCAACGATGGCAATGATGGCTCCTGACCCCGAGTCGCTGATTGTCACAATTTCATTATCCATGTTGAATATTGGCTCACACTCAAACTGCATCAATATCTACTCCTGGGATGTCGGTGGCGGGTAACGTCCAGTGGGTAAAAAGTCGCTAATTCGGTGACGCCGACGTTGTAGGCAAGAATAATGGATTTAATTTCATTTCATCACAAGTGTTGTTTAAAACTGATTTTTTTTTATTTTTTCGGTGGGTTCAAATTTCGACCGCAGCTTTCTATGTTTTGACAGGATACACATTTAGCGTATGCACGAGTCTTCAAGTGCACATTCCGAGTAATGTACCGCGGATCTATCATTGCATAACCACTTCATTTTAGTAACCGCGTCTGAGGTTGACATATTGTTTGCGGTGGATGCGTAGTGCTTACGTCGAACTTGCTACTCTCCACACCATTTTAGATGTCAGCTGCCATCACAAATTTGTAGCAGCTGAGGTCACCAAATTTTGTCAGGAACGAGAAGAATTTGAATAAATAAGAAGAATATGCGATTACTGGAACAGGTCGTTTATTGGCCTGACATTTCGGATCCTCACTAGAATCCATCATCAGAGACAGTTGCAGATAACGGTGGTGGGGTCACAAAAACCGCAGTATTTATAGTGCGTACCTGATATGGGGCCACATACGTACTTTAATAAACAGTTATCGCGGTCACCGCCATGGGTCGTAAATAAGGCAACGATGGCGCCTTAGTCTGCGTCCGCGACGTTGATTGCCGCAATTTCATCATCGGCGTTGGATATTGACGTGATGGGTACTCCGAAATTTGGCTCACTACCACTGGGATTTTCGCATGCCAGCGCCTCCCCCCCACGTGAATGAGTCCCCTTCCCAGGAAGATCCTTAGCACAGAATATGGTATTGGGAGGTCAGTGAACCTGTTGATGTATTACCGGCCTGAAAACCATGACTTGAGCGGCTCGCGACTCATGCGGTTGTCACCCTTTGCGAACGTGGACAAACGCATCCAAATTTAGGCATCCCGGAGGGACTAAAATATGTCCGAACTATGCCGCACAATAATATGTACTGCAGATCTATCTAAATAGTCTTTCCGAATCATGGATATATTATGTAGATGCAGCTGAGACTAGAATAGATTTCGAGATATACAGTTATGCAATTGAAAGCAAATAAATCTCTGGAGGAGTATATAGTGCAAAAATATTTACACACGTATCCTGACAATGAAAATAATCTTGGTAGTCGCAACCGCTGGAACAAGACTTTTATTCTTTTGGCATTTTTGCTTTGCATTTGAATCCATCATCAGAAACAGCGTTTATAGGATACCTTTATCATGGGGCTGCACACTAATAATACAATGTGTGACCAATCTCAGGAGCTGTTGGCCGAAATTCCGAAATGCGTTTTCGATTTGAAAGGATTACTTAGGTGGGGTTGTAATACCGATTAGCGTTCGACATGATAGAGTAATATTTCAGACTAGGCAGGATGTCGGCTTTTGAATGCCCTTCTTTTTAATCTCCCGCAAAACCCACAATTGGTAAAAAATGACTGCTTACGTAGCATGCATTTCTCGCACTGATTTTCGATGGTCTCATAAATTCAAATATATTTCATTGAAAACATGCACACAAATATGCTTTCTTCTACTCCTTTGGTGGCAAATCACGTTGTATTTGCATTTTATGTCTGAAGACAATGTATATTTAGGTTTTAAAAAAGTTTTCCATTTCCCGAATAATTTTAAGCCTGATCAGCCGTTGCATTAGCATTTAGCGATTTCATTCTACAAGGCGCATGCTGTCCGTGTAAGGAAAATAATTTATTCCTCTAGGCCTTTAAGAAGATACCATTTAGAGTTCATGACATTTTGTGATGAGGGCGACCTATGTTGTACATTTCATGAAGAGCATTGGTAAACAGAGAGGAACGATGCTGTATGAATATACATTGCATGGTCTTAAAAATCGTATGATTAAAAATTTCTTTAAAACCCAAATATACCCATTCTTCAAGCATAAAGTGTAAAGTTGGTGTGAGTTGCCACCGAATGAGTAGAAGAAAATATATTTTTGTGCATGTTTTCTATGAAATGTAGGTGAATGTATAAGAACATCGAAATCAATGCGAGAAATGCACGCTAATAAAGCAGTCATTTTTTACCGATTATGGGTTCTGCTGGAGGTTGAAGATAAATGCATTCAAAAGCCTACTATCTGCTGACTCCAAAATATTATTGGATCACGCCGCAAAGTAATAAGTATTAAAGCCCCACCCAATTAATCCTTCCAAATCGAAAACGCATTTCGGCCAACATTTCATGAGATGGGTCACTCACTGTAATTGCTTTGATTCGCCTTCATCGCCGAGTGTTGCCTGTTGTACGATGCGTCCCAATCAGTCCGACAATGAAAAGCCCTCGTCCTTCACGTTGGCCTCTACCTACGTGAAGATTCGATTTCTATGCAGGTGTTTTTAAAATCTCGTGTAACATAAATGTGGCTCATATAAGCCGTCCGAGCGACCTTTTGGCGAGAAGGGTGAACCTCCGATATTGCAGCCCGCCAGCATGATTGCAGCAGTGGAAGTACTACAAAGTCGGACAAAAGTGAGAATGAAAACAAAGAGCATCATCTGCCACCAAGCCTTATGGCTTATAGGCGGCACAAAGTACTCCTAAAGTTCAAACGGACTAACCGAATGGACACAATGTCGACAAAGAGATCGTCATCATGCCCGCGGACAAAATGCGTTCCATTGTCAAATCTCACATGACAGACTAACTTTAAATGGCCAAACGTTTCTCGTAGGACCCTGTTTTATTTCTCCTGCCTAGGCAGTCCCATAAAAAGGCTGTTGAGTCAATTTAATGCTACGCTGTCGACATTGGAGAGCTCAAGTTCAATGCCAACAGTTAAATGGCGCATTGCGAGAGCCCAGGAAACGGCCATGTGCGGATTCCATGGTCCTCTCAAGTTAACTCAAAAAGACATTTCCCTTCGATACATCCAATCCTTCTGTGTTACTTCAACTTACGGGCTTGTTACGTGGCTGTTTTGGCGTCTCACAATTTTGACAGCTGGTCCTTATACTGCAGTTCGTTTTTCGGCTTTCCTTCTGAGGAAGCTTTAAGTGTTGGGTCTTCTGCTAACGAGGACTATGTTATTGTCCGATGTTACCTCTCTCTATTCCTGTTCCCTAGGTTCTGGCACTTGAAACCATCAAATTTTCCTGTTAAACGAATACTGCGGAGCGGAAAGTGGCCTAGGCGTCGACTAAGTCTGCCGACATCCAAAACAAGTGATGAACTTTCTTCAATTAGCATCTCACTCACTCTTTCTGATGATGGGTTCGAACTTGAATCCAACATGTCAGGAGAATTATGCCCTTGTATAATCAATCGTTTCAACTTCTTATCAACTAGTTCCTGAAACTCGCATTTTCGCATGCATCGACAGTTTGTTCGGGCGCGACGCGCTCCGAACGGTCTGACGATAGGAAACGTTTGCCCTTCCATAGGTCTGTACTTATGCGCAGCTACGGCTGCCGCACAGGCGTCTCGATAGCGATATGTCGTTGAATTGTGTTTCTCACAAACCCTCAGTAAACACAGAGCTGGCGAGACTCTCAGTATTTCAGGAAGGAATACGTACGTTCTGCGTGATCCTTTACGATTGTGACGTATAGTTTCGCATATACCGTCGGAGAATTTACCAAGTCAAGGCCCGCTATTCTGATTTTATGGTCAAGAACGGCAAAATAACTTCTTAAGCGGAGGGTCACTGAACACGTTCGCGAACAGAAATCGACACCCAACGGGGCATTGAGGAATAAGTTCCGCAAACTGTTTGATCTAACTTCATACAGAAACGAGATGCTGGTATACAATTTCTTGCCAAATGGACTGACGAAGGAGCAAGAACAGGTTTTACGCCCAGACTTGGTACAAAACCTGCCAGAATGATTGCATCAGAGGAATTGATCACCAATCAGATGAAAGCGACAGAGGAGACGAAGAACCTTATCCGACACCGCATTTTGTCCCAGCTTATGACTTACAAGCCGCGCGAAATACTCCGAAAGTTCCAAGGCGACGCAATAGGAAACCTCAAGGTCGACAAAGATATCTTCATCGTGCCCGCGGACAACTGACGCTCTGCCGTCGTATGGGACAGAACAGACAATCTTCAGAAGGTCAAAAACCTGCTGTAGGATGGCCAGTTTTATATCCCGTGTGATATCAACCCCAGGAAAACGCTGACACACGAAATCAATGCAACGCTATTGACAGTGGAAAATTCGGGTGCAATAACACCGACCGACCGACTGACGCCTGGCGTCAGTACAAGGGATGGCATTGGTCTGGTTCTATGGCCACCCATAAATGTGCGACGGAAGTGCTCCTCTCCGGTTGGTCTTATCGCTGAAAGGCGCTCTGACGTACGGAATGACAAAACAGCTGTTTCGGTGTCTCACGTTTATGACCGTTGATTAGGGCACCACGGTCTGTTCGTCGGCACGATTCTTGGAAAAGCTAAAAGCGGTAAGTCTCCTGCGAAATGAGGTCATGGCGATCGTGTCTTCTTCTTCAAGGTCATGGTATCTATTGGTGTCACATTATATCCCCCAGATTGCAGAATCCCAAAACCTCCGACAGATTTCCAGAGAGAATGGCTGCCTGCGCAACTTTGTCAACTTGTACGTGCGAAAACGAGACGAGCGACAACAACGTACCGACCCCAAACTCCGGCAAACAATCCCGTGCATCAAGAACGCCCCCGAGACTGTCAGTCGTCCTCTCGCAGCACTGGGGTTTGGAGATTCACACAGATAGGATGCAAAATTTAGTCGTCAGGTGATGAGACCGAAAGACCCACTGTCATGACAAGAAACCTCTGACGTGATTTGCTGGGTCTCGCAGTTTCGGACAAAACAACTACGTTGGAGAAACTGGAAGACTGCTCTATGTGCTCTCGAACTTGCGGTACAGGGCGAAAAAAGTGACGCCAACATCCAAATCGCGACCCACTCGACGAAGCCCACCCACATATTGAAGTTTGGTGAGTTCCTAATTCTCCTGAGAGGTGGTAATCGTGTGCAAGGATTAAGATGAGTGCTGAAGTTTCGAGTGGAGGATGAGGGATCATTAAATTGTCCATCATAAATCATCACAATGGTGGGGTCTCCAAAGCAGATATCTCGGTGACAGTATTGAGCTGACGACGCTTGCCGACTGAGATCGTGCAACAGTTTACGAGAGATATCGAACAGTCCAAAAAAACATGTGGGCTCTTTATGACTATCGGGAACGACATGCAGCCGTAACTGGTCCTCAGTTTTGGTACCAACCAGACACCCAAACAAAAGGATGTCTAAGAACTCCTTCATCCGCGGTCTTACGCATTATCGTTCCTAGGCGGATAAGCAGATATTTATCTTTATTACAGTCTCAAAGTATGCATTGCATGGTGGCCGCCTCAATGAAAAAATCGAGTTTTGCAGCTAGCCTGTTCCACTGACTCGTAGCTGTAACATTAACGCACACACCTTTTTCACGCATTCTAGGTTTGGACAGGCGTTTCGAGAGACGGCGAGGTATCCGCAAACTCTCCGGACAGCGACTAGTCATTAGCACAGAAATGTGTCATCCCTCAAAGCCGACTGTTTGCCTGCACACCGACAAACGCGCCTACGACTGCCAGCGTGGAACCTAAGCAAGAAGAGCACAGACTCCACACAGGCAATGACGTGTACGTGCCTGAGGCGTCGCACGTGAACGGAGACCGCGGCCCTCGTCTACGCGTGTGACGCACTCTGTCAGTTTTTAACTAACTTTCGCCTCCGACTGTTATGATTAAGAGTGCATTATTTTTGTTGCCAAATGCATGTCCGTCTATTCCATAAACATCGAACTGAAATTCTACTTTCATTTAAATTATGCTCACTGACGAACGAACTAACTGACTTCCCGGATTTTTCATAGATAAGCCTGGAATATCACTTCTTATCGTAAAATATTCGCGTATAGTTATTTTTACTTCATCCGCAACTAGACGACTCCTTCCTCTCAGACATGGTCGGCAACGCCTGTTTGCATCTTCTTCCTCTCACAACTGTCAGACTTAAGTTTTTAAGGTCACCAAGCTTTACTTAACAGCTTTGCATGGAAAAATGCGGAACTGAACCAGAAGAATCTGGCTCAATCGTCTGATCGTGTGGCTGACAATAAACGCATCTAAGATCGCTAACGTGGGGGCTATGTCGGAGCAGAGAACAGACTCCGCGAAGACGATGACGTGTGCGCGGGCGAGATTTTAAACCTATGCCGAGACTGCGAATTTCCTCTAAACATAAGATGATGTCTACTAATTCTCATCTTACTTACAGCCCCAACTATCTGAATTATGAGGTCATTTCGCCTACCGGTGGTGTTGCGTAGACTCACTGTACTGCAACTGTTTTCCCAAAAGCATGCCCCTCTATCATATTAAAATGGAATCAGTGTTTCACTTTCATTAACTTATATTCACTCCCGTCGAATTGGTCTAGTTCCCAGACGTAAACGCATATTGCCCGAATTTTAGCTAGATTTGTCTGTAAACACACTCCCTGTCGTACAAGCTTTTCTAAAAACCACTTTCAACTGCATATTCAAAGAGAAGATTCCGTCCGCCTTCCTCTTATCGCAGTCAGCACCACGCCGTTGGGGTTAGTAAGCATTACTTGACAACTTGATATCGAAAATTAGCTGAGCATGCGGAATTCATCCAGAAACGTCTGCCTCGGTTGACTGACTGAGAGGATGTCGAAAAAACAAATCTAAGATTATTATCGTGGAGGCTATGCAAGAAGAGAACAGACTTCGCGCAGACAACGACTTGTATGCGGGCTGGATTGCGAAAGGAAGCAGAAGTGTGCGTTTTCTCTATATGCAAGCTGATGTCTACCAGTTTTCAGCCTACTTACAACCCAGGGTATCCTAATTAATCCTTTGGTTACTCTGTCCGGGAAGAAATACAGGTATTTGAACAAAGAAGACTCAGTTCCCACTAGAGACCGTCGGATATTTTTCTGGTTATGTCGGGCAAAACCTCGTCTCCCGTCACCATGCTGCAATTTTTGCTGATTATCGCTGGTGGATTAGTGCCAGGAACTTTGTCCAAACGTCCTAATTGCTCAGAATAATTATCCATTATTACGGTCTGACATTATTTCGTGATGAAGTATGGCTTCGACCGACACAGAGCATGGCATACCTAGGCCTGATTGCGGCGTAGTAACTGGTGTCTGATCTGTGCAGAGCTATTAATGTTCGCGTTTGATAGCATACAAAATTAATTTTCGGTGGTAGAGTAATGCTCACCGATCGTTTATACAAAACTCGCTCATCCTGTTATACCTTACGGGCTCTCTATTGAACCCAACCAGCTGTCGTACAGCGGCGCATGATAAAAACAGGATGGCATTAACGTTTTTTGTCAGTAAGAACATTCTGCCTAAATCCATTTTTCCTTTCCAACGACAACTCAATAAAAACCGGTTTATACTCCTGATTGCGTGGCATAGCGTCAGAGATTATTGAATTCCAGGGTTGGTTTCTATTGACAGATGACTTGTGATGCAATTTCCTTGTCTAATGACCTTTTCTATTTGTTGAAGATGCACTTGAACGGTAACCAATAACGCATTTAGTTTTAAGACAATTATTCGAGAGTCTGAGAAGGATATGTCACGACGATCGCTTGCGAATATGCCACTATGCGGTTCCATTACCCTTTCTGGACGAATAACGTCGCATACATCAAAATTACCCTCGCAGAATCTGGTTCATAAATGCTACAACTACCAAAAAATTAAAGCACTCGAATGAACTCCAACTATTTTTATAGTGTTTGCTGTTGTGTTGTTTCCTATGCAAAAATGATACAAGAAAAATCGACCAGCATGAAAGCCCTCCGAACTTCATGTCCCCTACCTTGTGGGGCAATACTAAGAATAGATTTGCTTAAAAATCCAAGAGAAGGTCTGTGTGTTTCATAAAGTGCATAGTTCAAATAGAGCATATATAAATACTTATGAAATATCATTTTATGTTAAACGAGTTTGCAGCGGATTGCTCGCCTTTTTTGGACATGCATTTTCGAAACTCCAGATCTGAGAAGGGGTGTTCTCCATATCTTCGAGTTGTTTTTTCTTACTACCGATGTTAGTGTTAAAGAGATGCATTAGTCCGACAGTAATCGCTAGAATATCACAACTTTATATAAGGGACTACAACATTTCACTTACGTGCGTGACTGACAGATAACAATCGGTATTTAAGTGAACCCGATTTATTGCAGCAGGTACTCTCAAAAAGGCTTGAATTTCGGAGAGCTCAAATAGTCGCAAAAAAAACTATTCACTGCAAGTAACATTTTGTGGCAGAAAAATATAGTATAGGCGCCAACTCATCCTCCGAAAATTCCTCATCACTGCTAGTAAGAAAGTTTTCGACTTTTGAACAAAACACCGAATTTGGTGGTTAAACGCCGCAGGTTGATCTGGCTGATTTTGTTTATTCGCTGGAGTTTGTTTTACAAAGGAATGACGAACATGAATAGTATAAGGAACGCGCATCAGTAGAGGACAATTTTATGACTGTTAGAATATCCTGATCTTACATGCTGTCCAGGATCACAGTTTATGCCGATTACTTGCTTGATAAAATAACGGTGATTCTTGGGTCATGGCGAAATTCTTGAAAATTGCTGGTTGGCTCTCCAGGGTAATAAACGTTTTAAGGCCAATCCGATGGAGGGAATTAGCAGGTGTGGAATGCAAGACTGCAAAATTTAAATTCCAAAGGCGACCGCAAGCAATTCGTGAACAATATAGAGGAACATATTTAATTGTTAGTAAAAACATAAGTTTGTTTGGTCGGATGATATTCCGTATCCGTACCTGCAGTAGACAACCCCCGGATGCCTGTCATACGGGACCAGTGGTATAGGGGGTTTTCTACTAACGCCTAACCCCAACAGCAAACCCCAACCCATAACCCGTAATCCTAACCCTTACCCCTAACCCTGGGCTCTAATCCCTTACTCCTAACCCCAAAGCCGGGCCTTCAACCCAAAGCAGTAAACCCAAACTCTTAAGCCTAACCCCTAACCCAAACCCCTAGAGGTAAGGCTACGAAATAAGAACCTGCCGTTTGTCTAAATAGCATGACAATCGAAACCTTTATTATTCAGCATTTACCTGCGTTTCCAGTTTCTACCAACGCAGCACATCAATCATAATCAACAATGTCAAGTTTTCTTTATCCACGGATGGTCTTCTATTTGCCCTAGTCTAGGCGTCAAGCGCGAGATTATAAAAGCTGCAATCTGACGGCGATCACAAGAAATTAACGAACATTTGCATATCCCTTCAAAACCTCAAGTTAGCCTGCTTCAAAGAGATGGGTCTCATGTTCAGTCGTATATTCGATCGCTTCTTTGGCAAAAAAAGAAGTCAAAATTCTCATGGTGGGCTTGGATGCCGCAGGCAAAACCACCATCCTATTCGAGTTGAAATTGGGTGAGGTGGTCATGACAATTCCCACAATCGGTTTCAACGTCGAGACAGTGGAGTACAAGAACGTCAAGTTCACCGTATGGGACGTTGGAGGGCAAACTCCAATCCACCCGCTATGGTGCTATTATTTCCAAAATACGCAAGGTTAGCGTAACGGTTTTTATGATATTCCAGGCCTCGTATTTGTCGTCGACAGTAATGATCGTGATTGTGAGGAATTACATGGCATGCTAAATGAAGATGAGTGATAGGATGCCGCCTTCCTGGGGTTTGCAAAAGAACAGGTATTTGTGTATTTAATGTTAATGACTTCTCTATCGCAGGATCTGCAAAACGCAATGCCGGCCTGCGAGGTAACACAGAGACTCGGACTCACCGATCTTAACGGGCGTCAATGGTACGTGCAGGCCACGTGCGCCACAACAGGCACTGCTCTCTACGAAGGCCTGAACTTGCTATGTAGCACTCTTTCTTTGGTGAAGCGATGAGTTGCTTAATGTGGCCAACGCTCAGTTCACTGTGGTCCGTCAACTTCGGAGGCCATTACCGTTGCGCGACATTAGTCCACATCTCGGACCAACTTGTGACTGTAGTTTCACCATCATCTTTCGGCGTCGCGCGATGCTTGTAACTCCGGCCCCTGTGTGAATATATGCCGCATCTTTTTCCCTGTTCCATTCTACCATTGCTTTTTTTCCCTAAAGCCAAATATCCCCATTTTTACGCGGTGATGTTCACTGAAAATAGTTTAGTAATTCCCATTGTGAATAAATATTTGATATTGGCTAACCGATCGTGATGGACCCCGTCATGTGGGGTTATTATTTATGCCTTTAGAACGTACGGGGCTGTCTTCTTCCTACGGCATTGAACACTTATCAATTGGTAAAATTGTGCTTGTATTAAGAAATCCGTTACCCGTGAAACTTGAAGCACGTATTCGTACCCAATAACAGGGGGTTTTCGGAGGTTAAAAGCAGCGAACAACAGAATCCGTTGACAGAAATAGCTGTGCTTCTGTTTAATCATATATATATGTACATGTCCCAATCAGGAAATGGATTCTGTCAAGCAACCTCCTTGAGGAACATGTAAAATTTTGTGAATTCAGTTCAGGTTTCAAAATATTTACTCGTTTGGAAAACACATGAATATTTTTATGCCCTCACATGCCTTTTGAACAAAGATGGCATTTGAAACGGGTTGGCGATATCCCCGCCGTGCGCAGTGGCTGTCTACGCGTCGCTGGACCAACACAGCCTCGTCCTCTTTAAATCTACGCATCCTTAAATCCCTGGTGGCAATGGCGCATAATTTGATTACCTGGACATTAGCGTTTAACTTATCTGTTCAAGTATGGCGCATAATGCTAGGAACACATTTCTGGCAAAACAAATGGCGAATAAGACGGCAGGAACGACTAAGTAGATAGGAACTAAGACAAAGTCGTGACCTTTACGCTGCCTTTCGCAATTTCTAGGTTTTCATCAATCCGAACGCCAAGTTTTACGTGCTTCAACGCCCAAAAATTATATATTTCCTTCGGTCCATTTCAGAATGCCGTCCACATGGCTTTTGAAACTTTGCTCAAATGCAGTTTACACGGCATCCACAAGGCATCCTCATGAGACCGGCATGTAGCTGGCGAATGTGTAAGCATCATTGCGGTGTATGCAAATGGCCCCGAGACGGACCGGTGTCGCGAGACTGTCGTGCGGGTATTGGCTAATGCACACACTGTCATAAAATCCAGACTTCTGATTGGCTCGAGCGTTTGCGTGCGTGCGTGCGTGCATGAAACTGTGCCTGTGAGAGCCAGAGTGTAAGCCACGTAAGAACAGAACAGGCTCCACGAAGGAATAGGCAGTTCTTAACGTACAGGCCGGTGTCGCACCATCGGTCTGTGTGGTGGGAACTTCCGTGACATTTAGCTGGTCATAGGGTTTGACCTCCGTATAGTCCTCATTCTTGTACTTACTTGCTTGGTACGGCTGAGAACATGCCTGATCTAGCCGACCTCGATGATGTCCCGAACTGTTACTCTCCACGCGTGACGATCTACGGCAGCGATTTGGACAGTTCAACCCATTCTCTTCGCCAACGACGGAGATCGAATACCGATGGTCCAAGAACCATCTCCGTATCTTGAAGAACTGTGCCGAGCCAGGTTTTGAATTGACCTCCTTTTCGACGCCTCCAATGGTGTAACGATGTCGGATCGAGATATCTTACACTGAGCTCCTGAAGTGGACGACGAAGAGCATGCCTAAAAACCCCTCAATAGCCTTTCTTGGATGGCCTGGGCTATCTTTGTGATGTTGTCGCAGCGAGTGTGAACTGTCTCATTTTAGACGAAGTCGGTGTACTTCACCCGAAGGATGATCCTCAAGCAGCGGTGGTTAAATATCTCCTGTTTTCGCTCATCCTCCATGCACACAGCCCAAATTTTACAACCACAAAGAGGGACAGACCGATCAGACGCGTGCACACGTGAGTCTTAGTCTTTCTTCGGCCTTGTGGAGTTCAGCTTTGACGCTCGAATTCATTTTGTTATGTGGAACCGTGGACATACTGAGCATTGCTTAGCTCGCCGTAACTGCATTCTCCACTTAGAGAATATCACAGATTTACAATAAGCAAATTCACGTCCGTATCACTGCTGTGACCTCAGAACAATGACCGTCCAGGTTGACCGCAAAAACCGTAACGTCGAATGGTTGTTAAGTGCGCACTTTATTATATCTCTTATTTGCAAACAGTTTTCCAAGTCATTTCATTTGTTGAGCATTTCCTGCATATGCCGTTATACGTTTTTTTGTTCTAAATCATGAATGCATATTGTAAAGACTGTTTTCGTTTTATGTTGATAAAATCCGAACGAACAATCAATGGTGGACTTATTCCGGCTCCTGCCTTTTCTATCTACGGGATTCAGTGTCATCGACTTATCTGATTGGCTTAATACAGCTGATAATTTGGCGTGGGATCGCGCTGCCGGTCACCGTTGCTCAGCCAAGTTGTGATTCTGATCGTGGACGCGCTTCGTCTTTTTCGTGCGCTCGCACCCCCAGTCTACCGGTCAGTCAATCAGGCACTCATACAGGTCATATCCTGGTGTTGACGTTTACCCGTTCTCTACTGCCTTAGAGACAGTGTGGATGCCATATCAACTTGCCAACTGAACAACTGACAGAATGTGTCTGAACTGTCCTTCCTTCGCGTGGAGCCTAGTTCTCATGTGTTTATACTCAGGTGTGATCGCTGCTACAGAATCCTCTTGTCATGATTTCAATGCGACATTTCTCCGACTCCAGGCTGTTCCAGACGCCACTGACACGAGGGATATATTGGCCACCACAAACCCTTTCTCGACTGCCTTTGATGATCATGTCGATCCGGGTTTATGTCCTATGCACTTTGAAGTTGCAGCACGTTCATGTGATCGTCAACTTTTATCGGCAATTCCTGCCAAACTTCGCTGACCTCGAGCTAGAACTCACCGTCATGCATTCCGTTCCGAAGAATCCTCTCGGTCTTTCTGGTGAGGCATTTACCTCTTTTCGAGATAATCAAGGCCTCCCTGTCGATGCTGCCTCGTTTATGCATGAAGGCTAACTCTTCGGCGATAGCCTTTAAGGTAGTTCTTCTAGAACATCCCACTACGTAATGCTGTGTCTGTTAGTCTTGCGCAAAAAAATTTCTCCAGTAAAAGCATGCTACGGCATCTTTGACGATGAAATCCCCGCCACGTATTTGGAAATGGAGCACTTCCGCTACTTCCTTGAAGGTCTTGTCTTCACAGTCACCACGATCCGTAGATCATCGATGTTCCCATACCGATCATACTTCAAAAAGTAAAACCCGAGGCCAATTATCCATATGGACTAAATTCACACATTCGCCACCAGCATCCACCATATCGATGGCACAAAGGGTGAGATAGCTGTCGAGCTGCACGGAGCTTCTCACCATTCACTCCTCGTTACAAGTGGGGTCAATCTTGCTGCCATGGTGACTAGAAGGGGAGTCGGTTAGCCAATCGATATGCCATTTAATGGTCTCGATCGTTTAGGTACTCACCTGTTCACCGCTGTTGCACAGTTCTTCGAGACACCTCAAGTCCAAACTGCCCCTTAGTGTTCGCCTCGATGCGTCCAACTATGCTTCAATTTCTTCATGATTCCCTCTGTCCGGGAGACGAGACTCAAACAAACTCCCCCCTCAAGCTTGGATGTTTCTGAGTTGCCAGTTGAAAAGTGTAGGAGTCAATATAAACCTCGCTCAACCTCCCCATTTTAGACTCGGAAGCACTGAACATACATGGTTTGTATAGACGAACGTAAATTAACGATGAATGTTCACCAAGTCTACGAACTTGCCGAGTATGTGTGCACTCTCTTGCTCTTCCGTGTCCTTTGATCTTGCAATTGTAGTTACCTGCGTCTTCCTACTATTCATACTTTCTCCGCATCATCACTCGTCGGCATTTAAAATGCCCCACGTGCCTTTGTCGCTACGATCACACGGGCTGGTTTACCGCGAGCATGACTGGGGTAGTCCAGAGATGCCCTGACAATTACTACGTATGGGTGACACACTTGCGGCGGCCCAAATTCGTGCGTATGTTGCAAATTTGTGCCTCTTACGCTTGCTTGTACGTGCGCACCAAGTGCAGTCTGATGATTGGCCAATGCTGGCTGCCCAAACTGACCAATCATCATTGAGGTTGACTCAGGCGTGAGCTTAATGAGGGCTCTGTACGACTGCCCCACTGTCTCACATGCGGACGTTGCTCTCGCCGCGTAGGACGTGCCCTCGTCGGCCGCCAACTCCTACTAATCTCTTCCCTAATAGTTCTGCACAGGAAACAACATCCTCCCAACTTGGCGTCTCACTTCCTGTTCGGAACTGGGCCTTATGGCCGTAGTGACTGAGGGCTCCCTATAGCACAATCTGCCGCGACGGATACATCATCCTAAAACTGCTCTACACGAAGGCTGAGCGGCGACACCGATAGGTCCCCATCGCTATCGCATCGACGAGGTACGTCACAAGCAAGCCGGCGGTCGTAACCTGCATTTCGAGTTTTGTACAGTGCGCGACTTGACAATGGACAACAGACACGGTTGCATGAAATATCAACCAACTAATAAAGTCGATGCAGTAAGCTCTTCCCCGTTCTGAGGCGGATTGAATTACACAAGTAACACCTCCTTCGGATTAGGAAGTTAAAAGTCGATGACTGAGTAAGTAACGTGAATGCGGGTCATACAGTGACAACTACAGTTTTACGAAATCGCATTAAAATTAGAAGACAGCTAAGACGAACGCCTACTGAGTTAACATAAGCATGGGGATGGAAAATACAAGAGTGTACAGGAAGAAGGGTAAGGCAAGTAGTGTATATTTGCAACGTAGGGTGATATGGGGAAGAAACCGGAATTCTGAGCTATGGTGGACACCGCAAAAGAGTCAGATTAGAACTTCGTGCCAGTGTCCAAGACTCTTGCCTCGACCCCCAGAAGAGGCCTTGAAATGCGCAAGACCACGGTGACTGGATTGGACGTTTCATCGCTTGGCTGAGGAAAGAGTGTTGCATAGCCAGTCCAGGCCTTCGTAGAGACCAGTGCCTGAGGTGGCGCACGTGGCTTGCACGTGCCATTGACGCCCCTGAAAAGCGGAGAGGCCGAGTCTTTGAGTTACCTCGCAGGCCGGCATTGCGTTTGGCAAATCCTGCGATAGAGAAGTCATTAACACGAAATACACACACACACCTGTTTGTTTGCAAACACCAACAAGGGGGTTTCACGCAGCCCCTCGTCACTCAGCATACGGTGAAGTTCTTCCCTCGCCTCATCTATTCTTTCCTGATCATTACTGTCGACAACGAATATGAAGCCTGAAGAATAACGAAATATAGTCACCCTTGCCTTGGCTGCTATAGCAGAAACAGCGCCACAGAGGGCGTACTTTATCTTGCCCTCCGACATCCCGTACAGTGAAGGTGACATTTTTGTACCGCACGATTTCAATGTTAAATCCGATAGTGGGAGTAGTTGAAACGACTTCACCCAAATTCAATTTATAAAGAATGGTTGTTTTGCCTGTAGCATCCAAGCCAACCATAAGGATACTCATCTCTTTATGGCCAAATATGCGATCAAATATGCGACTGAACATGTTACCCATTCTCTAAAAAGGCGGATTTGACCGTTAATCTGCAAATAAGTGTAACGTTTACCCAAAAAACACAATACTCCGTAATACTTACGTATTTTCCACTAAAAATAAGTGACGTGCCTTTCGGACTTCAGATAGGTCGCTTCTAAATGGCAATTATAACTTGATTTTTGTGGTGTCGCAGCATAAATATAACTATGTTTTTAATCCGATTGGCTCTGAAATCATGCGGACCCGAATAGCCAATGAGCAATGACTTAACTCGAGGATAATCGTGAAAAAAAAAGAAAAGGAAAGAAAAGAATCGCATGGCAGAAGTACCTAAACACGGTTTCAAAAGGGAATTTCAAGAAGGCATAAAGTCCCCCTTAATCAGCATTAGGGCAAAAGTGATCTCTCCGGACCGCTTAGTGTGCATTCTATTAAGGTCGGTGCACGTTCATCAGATAACCAAAACGCCTGTGTGGAGTGTGCTACCTCCTTGCTTAGCCTCCACGCTGGCAGCATTAAACGCGTTTGCCGGAATGCGCACACAGGCCCTTGATTAATGAAGGTAAGTCAATAATGTCGCAGTTATTGCATCATCCAACCACTGATTGGCTTATTTTCAGACGCTTGCGCAGATCTCCGATGCGGTATTACCGTGTGTGCTAGCGACAAGTTGATAGAATAGACTAGCCGTACAAATAACTCTTCCTTACCGGACTGCTTTCAAGTAACCTGTACATATAAGTGACTAAAACAATAAAAATGCCTTGAAGCACTTAGCGAAGAAAATCCTTAAGGCTGTGGTCGCATGTGGACTGAGCTGCCCTCTCTGTACGAGTACGAGAAGAATGCAAAAATATGGACCTTCTTTGAAGAAACTGAGACTGTCCTGTTCAAACCCTTCTTCCTCCAAATGAGCACGCATTTCACATGAAAATGAACGTCCCTCCAGTTGTTTGCCCAGAAGCCTTAAAAAAGCTGAGCTTTTTCTGGCAAATCTCGCTGGCGCTAGTCTCGCAGGCATTTCTTTGTGTTCTCTTCCTGTTTCCACACACTGGGGGAATGCAGTTCGCTGGCTGTCAGTAAAGGCTGCCCTCCTAATTATGTCGGCCAGGCTTCAGCTTTGGAAAACATCCTATTGTACTGCACCCTTCGCAACAAATTACCAAACATTTATAATGTCTCATTTTCTTAAATTTTTAATTTAGTTATTTCGGTTTCCTATTATGAAATCTGCTTGACCACCTGTTTTTGCCACTGCTCGACGCCTGAATGGAAGTAAACGACGTCATGCGATGATTCTTCTATGCACATTTTTGGAGTTAAACCTATCTTTTTGACTATTCATCAGTAACAGAAGTGAAAACTGTCAGCTTAGACTAGTGGTGGACTGTTGAGGGTATTAATACATGTCAGAAGTCAGAGGCCATTATATTCCATTTCTGTCAAAAGTATGGATAAAGGAAAGGCGAGTGTGTCTGTGAGTGCGCTTATGTTTCCTCGTTTGCGCGGGAGGAAGGTGTGAGCAAGTAAAAGAAATAAATTTGAAATGAGGGAGACGTCGATGATCTGTAGAAACAAATAGAGATAGTCAGCTGATATTGCATGACATGTCAATAAGCCTGATCTGCTAATAGAGTCAAAGGGGCAAGTTCCAGGACGTAGTCGCGAGGGAGGAGATACGATCGCTGGAAGAGGAGCTTTATTTGCCTGACGTTTCGGATTCTGTCTGGAATCCATCATCGGAGACAAAGTCGGAAGAGAAAAGTGGATTGTCTAGGTGTTGCAGTATCTATAGGATGTAGTTGCTGGACCCCCCCGTATTCGGCGTTGAGACGTTGCCTAGGCAACTTAGTTAGGCGCCAGGACAGCGTGCGGATGACCACTGTTCCTGGCGTCAATACCGGCGAGCAGAGTTGCCCAAGTATCCACATGGAGGACGAAATTCGGCAGTCAGCTACTTGACTGCGTGCAATGAGTGTTGAAGTAGATAATTTTGAGCGGCACAGAGAAGCATAGCAACTGCGCGCTCCAACACCTGACTGGTTGAGCCGTGATGTATTCGATAGCTGTCAACTGCGGTAGGCGTGTAGTGGCCCAGCAACTACATCCCATAAATACTGCAACACCTAAGCAATCCACTACCCTTATCTGACTCTGTCTCCAATGACGGATTCGCGTGCTAATCCGAAACGGCAGGCCAATAAATCTCCTCTCTCAGCGATCGTGTCTCCTACTTCACATCTACTTCCTGGAACTCGCCTCTTTGCCACTATTAGCCAATCCGGCCTAGGGTCTCCCCAACCATGTGGCATGTTCATCGCAGACATGTTTATCCAGTTTAAACCAATGTTTATCCGCCAGCACAGTCCCGCGCACCAACGTCGCCATGATGTTATCCCTGGCTTTAAAACACTGTGTCCGTTATGACACATTTTAGTAACCAAGCTGGTCCAACCCATCCCCGATTAAACGTTGGCAATCATCTTACACGATGTGGCCTAACACGCACGGATCAACAGTGCATCCTTCATCGCTTAGTTCTATCATGCCGCGGCTACCAGCAAGGACCGTTTCGAGTGCTTCCTGCGTCGGCAAAGTGTAAGGTGCTCGCGGATAACTCGTGCGGACCGGAAAGCTGAGCCGAATAGTTTAGGAATTGTAGAACTCCATTTGCGTATTTCCGGGAAACTGTCAATTTGCTCGCTCAAGTAACGATTAAAACTAAATTTGATAGATTTCTTTCCCCGCAGGAGAGATTCGGAGAACTGCAACAGACGTCCAGTGGGGAATGCGCATTTTCATGTTTGATTTCAATGATGGCCTACTTATACGGTGATATCAAACCCGAAGATAGAACTGTCTGGGCTTCAGCAATGTATTGCTACAGGACGTGTTCCATGTGAATTCAAAAACGCACCTACTGTCTGCGCCAACCACCTAAAAGTCCTCTCTTCAACGTTGCGAAAAAAATAACCTCCCGAGCTCCGCCCTAAAGTCGGAATTGTCATTTCGACCCATAGGTTCTCCATATCATTGTGGATTTCAGATAGGCCATGGAATCATCGTCAGATCTCCTTGCTTCATCAACTATAAAAAACGTCTAAAAAATTGGAATCAGTTTCCGCACCTCCTTCAAGGGCCAAACAAAGTCCTTCAACACCGTAAACAGGATTGACCTCTGGAAGGCTATGAGCAAGGCAAAATGCCCCGATCTGTTCATGATGCTAATCAACCAGCATTCCTTAACTTCGTGGATGCTGTGGACTAAACAAACTTGGTGACCAGGTTTACGTTGGAGGCGGAAACGACAGGCTCTGGGCATTTCCTAGACGTCATTCCAGGCAGAAAAGCTGACAGGAGCGTATAAGGAAGCGTTTATCGAAGATAAACCCAGTCTGGGAGCTATATGAACTTCTGCAGTTTTGAACCTCTTAAACAGAAACGTAATCTAATCCGTTGTTTAAAGTAAAAAGCCAGACAAATCTGTTCGGCAGATATCATTGCGAAGGGCTTAGAAGAATCAAGAACCTATTCGCGATAGCATGTATCCCGCGGAAGTATTGTAGGGAATCTTACCGAACGACTTTTAAAACTCATAACATCAGCAGCGGAAAAGAAAAAAACTGTTTCTCAAAGTCCCCTTTCAAGGGAACGCGGCGAGTGGACTCCTGGGAAGACGTCTTGACCAAGCCGTTTTAAGAAACTTTCTGGAAACAAGAGTTCAGATACTGTTCTCATCCAACCACATTTTACACGAAGAAGATACTGACAGACCACCTCCATGCGCGTTTACTCCTTTGCTTGCTCCTGTGAAGCACACTATATTGGTCATATGAGTCGATGCCCATCTGCAAGAATACGAGAACACCTGCCGAGGAATAGTGCAATTAAGAGCATACACAGCTCCATCCTCACACACGTGGCTTATTCTGGGCATCGTGTGGACCTCAACAAATCTCGTTTAATTTATACGGTCCTTTCTAACTACCCTAAGCGACTGGCTCAGTGCTTACTGGCAACGGCAGAAGCGGCTACCACCAGACAATGGAGGTCGCTCCATGTGTGCGCAGAAGAACCTCCTACACGCTTTGCGTCTATCGTGGTCGAAAATCGATGTACAGCATTAATTTCTCCCCGCCCCCGTCCCCCCCTTCTCATGTGACACGGCTCTACCTAACCCTCATTGCCACCTACTGCTTCCTCTCCCGGTCCACGATATACACTTTGCCTTGGTTTTGATCAACAACAACAACAATGGAAAGGGCGTGGATGACTGGGCAGCCACGCACACGACCTGTTCGTCCAGCGGGAACGCAGGCGCATCTACCGCCAGAGATCCAGGCACCAACAAACAGTCAGTGCATACCAGGTTGCGAGGGCCATGGTTTGTTGATAATGGCACAGCAGAGGACCGCAAACCTTAAGTTAAATGGAATAAGGTAATTACATGCACTTTTGCAGGAAGTGACGTTATCCAGCGTGCTCCATATGATCACTTGGGACGCCTTTGTTGGCCTGCCTGAAACTGAGACCTCATTGCCAAATTAGATGGACATCCAAAATGAAGACCGTCAGTCAACATACGCCCAAGAAAATAAACAGGATATCCATTTAGTTCCATGCCTTAAATTGTCGTTGTCATGGTCGCTAGCGAGTGGAGACTACATTCGTTTGTGCCACCCCGAGTGGTCATGGAGGAATCATCGAGAAATGGCCTCTGGTCACAGTCCTAGACGACACTAAAAGCTGCCTCTATTGTCTAACGAATGCACTTGTCGTTCTTCTTCTTCGAAAGTATTTTTTCTTGCTCTGAATATTT